AATACCCGTTTGGTGGTGATGAACTCCTTTAGCTTTTTCTTGTATGGAAAGCTCTTTATCTGCCCTTCGATTCTGAATAACTTTTCTGGGTAGAGTAATCTTGGTTGTAGGTCCTTACTCTTTATCAGTTTGAATATTTCGTGCCAGTTCCTTCTGGCCTGCAAAGTTTCTGTTGAGAAATCAGCTGATAGTCTTATGGGAGCTCCCTTGTAGGTAACTAACTGCTTTTCTCTTGCTGTTTTTAATATTCTTTCTTTGTCTTTAACCTTTCCCATTTTAATTATGATGTGTCTTGGTGTGAGCCTCTTTGGGTTCATCTTGTTTGGGAATCTTTGTTCTTCCTGGGCTTGAATATCCTTTTTTTTTTTTTTTGGCCAGGTTAGGGAAGTTTTCAAACATTGTTTTTTCAAATAGGTTTTCAATTTCTTGCTCTCTTCCTTCTCCTTTTGGTGCCCCTATGATGCAAATGTTGGTATGCTTGATATTGTCTCAGAGGCCCCTTAAACTGTCCTCATTTTTTTGGATTGTTTTTTCTTTTTCCTGTTCTGATTGGATGTTTTCTGCTTCCTTATCTTCTAAATTGCTGATTCAGTCCTCTGCTTCATGTAATTTACTGTTGATTCCCTCTAATGTATTCCTCACTTTAGTTATTTCATTCTTTATTTCTGACTGGTTCTTTTTTATGTCTTCTGTTTTTATCTTCTATCTTTGTTGAAATTCTCACTGAGGTTACAAGTATCCTTATAACCAATGTTTTGAACTCTGCATGTGGTAGATTGCTTGTCTCCATTTTGTTTAGTTCTATTTCTAGAGCTTTGTTCTGATCTTCCATTGGTGACGTTTCTTTGTCTCCCCATTTTGTCTGCCTCTCTGTGTTTGTTTCTATGTATTAGGTAGGGCTGCTATGTCTCCTGGTCTTGGTAGAGTGACCCTATGTAGTAGATTTCCTATGGGGCAGTCTCCTGGATCACCTGAGCTGGTTTCTTCAGAGGCGTCCCTTGTGTGTGCCCTCCTGTTGAAGTTGAGCCTTGGTGCTCTTTGCATGTCAGTGGGAGGGATTGATCCTCAGGCTGATTGGTTGTGAGGACTGGCCATTACTAAGTGGAGGAGCTGTTGTTCAGGGGCTGACACTACAGAGCAGGATTAGCTTTAGCAGGGCACTGGTGTCTGCCCAATGTGCCCATCGGGTATGTTGTTCATGGAGGTGATTGAATGGTGCTCTGGTATTGTCTGAAGCTGGCTAATGGGTGTGTTGGTTCTGAGGCCTCTTAGGAGGGCTTCTGTTGCCAGCCAAGGTCAGCAGCTGCCTGTGCCCTGGCCAGGGCCACTTGGTATGAGCTACAAAGTGATCTGCAGATGGGTGCTGCTAGTGCCTGGCTGGAGACTGCGTAGCAAGAGGTATGAGGCACTTTGAGGCCAGATGCTATTTTTTTTGAATTTGTGAACCTTTGAGAGATTTTAGGAAAGTCCGCAGCATGAGCCAAGACAGGCTGTTTGCATGGAAAAGCCACTGGAAGCAGCTTGTGTGGGCCCGCAAGTTGGGTGGCTTGGGGTCTCAGGGAATTACCAGGGCTGGCCGAATAGCGTTAGTTGCGTTGATGGAGACTCTGATATGTTGCCCACCTGTGTGTGCATGTTGGGTGCAGGAAGGGCTCAACAAAGGAACATTGGCTTCTGCCAGTACTTCTGTCTAGGAGAAAGCTGCCCCTCCAGCTCTTGCACTAAGGCCAGAAAATTCAGTTCCTCACTGTATGCCCCTGATGCCCTTCAAGCTGCTGCCCCACCACTGGAGCTGAGAGCGAGTGAGTCTGTCAGCAAGTTAGTTTGCATGCGGTCCCCTTTAAGAGGAGCGCCTGGAACTCCAGCTGCCCTCTGTCTCACTTAGCCACAATCTCCACTGGTTTTCACAGCAAGAGTTTGTGGGAAGTTCTCTCCCAACACTGGAACCCTGGGCTGGGGAGTCTGTTGTACTGGGACCAGTCATTCCTCAAGGGGGACCTCCGCAGCTGAGATATCCCTCCCGAGTTTTAACCACCACATGGGAGTGTGGGACTAGCCTGTCCATGTGTCTGCCCCTCCTACTAGTCTCAACGTGGCTTCTTCTGTATGTCCTTAGTCATATGTCTTCTGTTCAGCTAGACTTCAGGCATTTCTCAGTGATGATTGTTCTATAGTTAGTTGTAATTTTCATGTCGTTGGAGGTGAGACAGCATTTACCTACTCTTCCATCTTCAACTTTCTGCACCTTTTTAAACCCGGAGCTAATGAGTACCATGCTGGTGTTGCACTGAACCTGGTTATGCCAAGGGCTAGCATACTTTTTTTATTTGGTTTGTTGCATATGCATTATTTTATTTTCCCTGATTGTAGGATTGTGAGACATATACTTCCATGTCCATGTTTTTGAGTCACCTTGAAATAAAAGTACAGTTCTTTTTAAAGATAATTTAGTGCATTCTTTTGTGCATGAAAACAAAATATTGCCAAAATAATCATTAAAACATATTGGTATTGGGCCGGCTGAGTGGTGCGTTGGTTAAGGGTTGGCTTGGGACACCAGCTCTGAGCATCAGGGCCCCGGTTTGGATCCCTCATGGGCCAGTGACACTGC